TTTCACCTAAATCTTTTGGGTAGGGTAAGTAAAACCACTAAAAAAATAAATGTTCTAAATTATAATTGTGAACAAAAATTTTTTGTGATCGTTATTCGAATTTATTTTTTAATTTAGTTAAAGAAAAAGTTAAAAAAATTAAAGGTTTTAACAAATGAGAAAAGTTCTTTTATTGTTAATCTTTTTATGTTTTATTGTCATCTCATTTTATTATTTTAGCTACAATTTTTGATACATTTTTGTTGTCAAAATTAATTTTATCAAAGCTTTATCATTTTGGTTCAAAAATCTTCGCAATATTTTACGTTGACTGTACTCTAACGGTTTTGAACCCAACTCTTTTTTGAGCAATATTTTTTTTTAAATCTATATAATGCTGACATGATATTATACCGAAACCGTACAAACAAGTAACTAAGTTATTTTCGAAACCATAAAGAAACATCTCAATAAAATTTTTTACCAAAACCGTACGGTCACAGTATTTTAAAAATTTGTTTTAACCAAAAAATGCAGAAGGAAGCCTTGCCCTTCTCATTTCGGGCGCCCATGTACTGATTATAATTTATCAAATTATTTTAAAACCGAAAATGCTTTTTGTTCAAAAAAAAGCACATGATTGCATTAAACATTTTTAAAATTATTTTAATTACACTTGGTACTTGCAATTAAAAACATGTGTTTTTGTTTTAGAAAAATTTTTTTCTTACGCCAAATTTCACATACATATTTCTTACTTTTTAGTGTTTCGCAAACATTTCCATTGTTTACATTTATATTTAATAAATCCTAAATGTCAAAGTAGCTTGGTTTTTAATTTAAACCACAACTTATTAATAGCTTTAACAAAAAATCCTTTGTTGTTTAAATTATATAGACCTTTGAAATTATAATAAAAAATTGATTTCAGTAATGTTTCATATAACAATTTTAGAAAAGTTTTCGAATCTTAAAGAGTAACTTTCTATCTTTTGATCTAAAAAAAAAAATCCCATGGGAAACTTTACGTATTTGGTAGCTATTTAAGGTGTTTATAATAACTAAAAAAAAAAAAACAGTTTACAGTAAACTACATAGTAGGATGTCCCATAAAAAAAATAAAAAACTTTCTACTGATTCCCATTCTGTGTGACCTAAATAAGTCCTAAAAAAAAATTTGTCGGTTTTTATTTTGACAGGAAGCGCTAGATGTAAAATCTGAGTTTTACTGTTAAGCTGGCTTAACATTAATAGAAAACACAACTTTTTTACATTTTAGAAAATTAAAACAAAACAATTAGATAAGTATAAATCATTTCCAGTTGTTTTCTACTTATTGTTTTCTATAAATATGAAAATACAAAAAAATTACATAAAAACTAATATTTATTAGCAAATTTAAGATTTTATTGCGGTGAAACATTTCTCAAAAAATACTACTTTTTGAACAGTTCCCAGGCTCCTTTTTAGTCATACTTATAGTCAAGTTTTTTCTAAACTTTTTAACAACAAAAAGTGCATTTTGAAGGTGATCTTCATCTCTAGTGGCTGTAATAAAATCTTTAATGAGCTTAATATTTCTTTCTTCTTCATCGTTTACAACAGATATGTTTTTGATCCATGCAATAAAATCTAGCAACTGAGGATGGTTAAAATCATCTATAGTATTAAGACTATTATTGAGCCATTCTTTTATACTTGCTCTTGATATTTTAAAATGTTTGAAGAGAAGGTAGCTTTGTTCGAAAATCAACTCAGGTAGCTCTGTCCAATTTGTATACATAATGGTTTACAATGCTGAAATTCATTTGACTCTTCAAACTCAATTAAAGCTAACAGCATTCTTAGCTTTTTTTCAGAAAGAACTTCTTTATTCCCAAAGGACAAAACACAGTTGCGGAGTTAAGTACCACGTATGGCGTCCCTAGCAGAGATGTAAAGCATTTCCAATATTCTTACTGACTTCTCTCAATTCATAGGTTGTCTGGATAGCTTTTAAATCATTGTATGGAGCCAGAAATCCTAAAAAACATTTCAAAAACCATGGAACATACCAAAGTGAAATAAAAAAACTTGCATCCTTCAACTGCAGCACTTCTTTTTCTGTCAAGTTATTAATGATATCTTTGGTCATATAAAGAGTCAGGTTGTAGATCACATCTGCTAAAAACCTTGCCTCATGGCTGGCGCCAGGTTGATAAAACTTAAAATCTTGTACTTCCGCCTCAAGAAAGAAGGAGGCAAGCTTACAAACTATACCATGATCATTTCTTGAAAACACCATATCAGTAGTTACATTAGTCAAAAATATCTTAGCTTTCTCTACAACAGTGCAAAGAAGAGACCCAGTCTTCAGATCATCGTTTTGCCAGTCCAATTTACATAAGTTTTTCACTTCATTAACTTTCTCACCGATTTCAGGCCACTTGTTCTTTATCTTGACATAAAATGCTCTTCTTGAACCTTTAGTTTTCTCACCAGTAAGAGCAGCCGTTTAGTGAGATACATATACTTCATATATGTGTCTTCTATTATCCACAACATTGGAAGTTTCAAAATATCTGTAAGAATTTGGACTGCTCCATTGACTCCGCCTGTATTGCTTGCAGTTGTATTACAGAATATACTAATGATCTGCTCTTTACATCCATAATATTCTAAATAGATTGTGCACTTGTTCTGCTTGGTCAACTTCCTTTGAAAAGGGAAATGAAACAACACCTAAAAGATGGTCTTCCATAGTATCGTCATCCGGGGAACTCACTGAGACTGCAAGTTGCTCAATTTATTGAATTATGTTAAGCGCAGAGGTAATTTGTTCCAACAGATTGGTATCAAAATAAAGAATGAGTCGTCGGCCTTTAAGATGATTAGTTATTGAAATCCACTCCAAGTCTCTTTCAAGTTCTACATATTTGAACTTTTTTCTATGAAGTGTGCTTCGTGAAAGCGATATATTATTAATTTCTATACCTCCAGCTTTAAATACTTCACTTAAAGTTGCCAGATGAGGTCATACACCAACATTGAACCTTGTATCTGGAATAGCAGTACATTCAATGAACTTGTCAACATTCACTGCTAGATTTATCCTCTCTCCAGAATTGTACCTAGATATCATTTTATAATACTTTTCTACCTATTTATAATTATATATTTTTTAATAAAACAGTTTTAGCTTGTGAAAATTACAACTATGTTATTAAAATAATAATATACCTGGGTTTCCGACCGTTACCCGGGAAATCTTCTTCCTCGCTGATTTTAGAGTCCTCGTTTGGCTTTTCTTCTTCACTGCTGAATTAAATCTCTTCTGTTATGGAGACATGTGACAACAAAACATCTTTAATATCTTTTACGTTTTTCTGTCTCTCTAATTCTTTTTCTCTCAACTTATCTAGCTCGTTCTTTCTCCTGTTTGCATCCAGTACTCTCCTACTGTAGTCTTCGTCAACGTTTGTTCCCATATATTCTTCCTTTCCAACTTCTGTCTTCATAAAAACTAAAAAATATTTAAATCTATTAAGACATTTATAAATAAATTAATAATTGTTCTAGTTTTTCATGGAAGATGACCAAACCAAGGAAAGAGTTAAAAGTAAATATTTTAAAGGAAAGAATAAGCTATTACTTAAGTTATTTTAAATCGGAAAGAAAATCTCGCTACTAAAAAAAGTGTTATTTAATGAACTTACTTTATATCTTTCAGCTTGGCATCATCTGTTATCAATCTATCAGCAAGAATATTTTTTTTCAAAATTCTTAGTTGAAATATCAAAAAGCTAATAGGAATCTGTGAGAAAATTTTTCTCTAACTTTGGTTGCTGATCAAGGCTGCTGTTCCAGTTTAGAAAAGACAATTTAATCAATTTCTTATATTCTAAATTAAGTTTAATGATAATGGTCTATATATTGTACCCAGAAATCACAAATTTCTTGCCAAACCCAGCATTATCCCAATTTTTTAAAATCCTAATTACAAAGCCAGAAATATAAGGACCTGCACAAACACCATTTTTACAAACAAGATCCTTGGATTTCGATTTCAATTAGCAGAAGTGGGTTTGTATTTAACCTGTAACTTGCGAAGGATAAATTGATAGTATCTTATATCACCATTAGATGGAAGCTGTCTCTGAGGTAAATCCCTCAGTGGGTACTTTAGTAGGTAAATACACCTCAACCTTTCTGTATTTTTCCGTTTTTTCTTATTCTGTCCCATCATCTTGTTTTTTTTTTTGAGCTGTTCTACCCATTTTATATGAATTTTGAAATAATCCGTTTTTTAACTAAATTTATACTAAATTTTTTTCATTTGCATCAAAAATCAATGAAGTTGTTATTTCCTCTCGTATCATATTTTATCTAAGTTTACCGTTACGGCTTTTATAACCATTTACATAAAAATTTCTTCGTGCACATATAATTCCATTTAGAAATTTTATACCAACTAATAATATTGTCCAGAGGGAATTATATGAACCGCTAACAATTTTCATAGGGATGTTCAATGCTAATCTTTGATAATGTCCTATGGGAATTATTTGTGTACTAATTGTTGCATCATATTGAAACATATTAAAATGCTAGAAAGCGCTGTTTTTATGTAAATACACATATGTGTACAAAACCGTAAAACTCAGAATTTACATCTATCACTTCTAGTCATTAAAATATCAAAAAAAGATTTTGGTTTCTATTTAGGACCTAAAGAATGGGGATCAGTTAAGAGCACATTAAATTTTTTAAAAAAGTGTTTTTTAGGGACACGCTACTATATAGTTTACTATTTAGTATTTTTATGTAAAGACACTACTTTACACTACAGTGGTTTGTATTACGTCATGCCTATCTGCAGCATAAATTTATCAAACAAACCATGTTTCTGAACTGGTCATATAACTATTTATACACCAGTAGTTGTAGTTAAAAAAAAAGTTCATCTTCAATAGCCAAAAAGAGGTAAACAGATAAAATAGTAACAAATGCTAACAAGTAAACCACAAATTCAATCTAAAAAATTTAAAATTACTATTTATATATTTAGTCAATCAAAATAACATTAAGCTTGAAAAAAACATCTGAATTGAATTCATCATCAAAACATCTTAAATTGAACTTTCAATTAAACTGGTTTTAATGAGAGCCATCGTAACCAATGTTGTCCATTTGCAATCCTTTTTCACGATCGTAAGTAAAGTAGCTACCTTGATTATAAGCATGAGTAAGATATTCATTTGTCGGGGTAATACAGATTGAAAAAAATGAAATTATAAACGCAACGACACATGTTCCTGAACCAACCCAAGTTAAAACAGCAGCGTATCCATGTTCTGATTTTTCCCAAACAAATTTAAATTCGACTTCGGCATAAATAATTGCTGCCAGACTACACGCTCCTAAAATAAATATGAAGTAGTTTAGTAGACAAATTTTTTTTTTTTCATTTAATTTACCTCCTCAAGACCATAAAGGTTACTACAGTCGAGAAGACTACTTCAGCTGTGGTTGCAACCCTCTTTTAACTCTATAACCCCAAAACAAAAACTCAGATGAACAAGGCTGCTACGCGGAGAAACAAGTTAATCACGGTACTACCAAAAACGTGGTACGGATCAAACTCGGAACATCTCGCTTATGAGACGTTCTACCACTACATCACTACCGCATTACCGCATTTACAAAAACAATTTGAATTCTTTAAACTATTTTGGTTAGTATGGTTGGTAACTTAGTAAACTACGCATGGCTTCTATATTGACATATTTATCATGATGGTTACTTCACGTAAATACTACTATGGTTACTTTGCGCAGTATTGTTAAAATTTGGTTCCATTCGTTGCTTTAACTTTACTTATATGAAATCGCTAAAAATGTATTAAAACTTTTTTAATTTTCATTACGCATCACCATTTCCACTCCTAACACTTTCCTGATGGGAGTATCACATTCTTATTAAGGACTTGTCGCTGACATCCTCAAATTATATTATTTAAAGTCAAACTTTACATCATGTTGAGCATATCAGTTTATTTAAATGTTTACAACAATATCTTTTTTCTCAGCAGTAATAAAATAAAATAAAAACAATTTTACTATAACTATCCAAAGATTGCATGTCTAGATTGTATATCTAAATTGATATACAGTATTGGACAAAACAGTTGCAACCAACATCGAACAATGCTAAAAAGTGTTTCTAATTTTACATGTCTTAAAAACGAAACGAACTATACTACCACAGCAAACATTCAGGAGTCTGGAGACATAGCATGCCATGACATGTGCAGTTAGCTGACAGGTGACAGCACACAGGCAGAATTTCGTTGACAAGTGCCATTCTGCAACGGACAAAACAAGTGCAACTTTTTTGGTTTGTTTCATTTTCTTAAGTCTGGTCCATGTCAACGTCGTGGAAGTTTTTTAATAATTAAAGGAAGTAACCAGAAGTTTCCAGAAGCATGCAATAGTTTCAAGAAGTTTCCAAAAGAAGCATCTGGAAGCATCCAGAAGTATCCAGAAACATTCAGAAGCATCCAAACGCATCCAGAAGCTTCCAAAAGCATCAAAAAGAAGCATCTAGAATCTTCCAGAACAGGTTCACACAGGTTCATTTTTACTATATAAGAGACATGTAATTCAGTCAGTCAGTAAACCGACATGTAATTCAGTCAGTATATGGAAGTCAATCAGTCAGTATTGTCAAGACAGTTTATCAAATTGAATTTTTTCAAAGTGTTCTATCGAAGAACATCAATACAAGAAGTGAAATACAACAAGTGTTTCATTACATCAATACAGTCCACATCCAACCAAGACGTTGTGCTCCACAGAACATTATTGTATCATCACACGGTAAGCCTTGAGAAGCGTGATTATTTATTTTTATTATTTTTATGACGGCCAAGAAAATGGGTTTTTCAGCAAGACAACGATCCGAAACATACTGCAAAAGAAGTCAAGCAATGGTTTCAAGACAACCACCTATCGGTGATGGATTGGTCGCCTCAATCTCCGAATCTCAACCCTATCGAAAACCTGTGGGAGATTGTCAACCGCAGAATTAATTGTGAAGGTGTTCGTAATAAGGATCAACTGTTTGAACAAATCCAAAAGACCTGGGCAGCGATTCCACAAAGTTTCATTGATCACCTGATTGAATCTATGCCTTGAAGATGCAAGGCTGTGATCAACAACAAAGGATTCGCCACGAAATATTGATAGCGAAATACAGCTTAGTCAAGATGTTGTGGAGTTGCACTTGTTTTGTCTAGAAGGAAATCAACTTTTTTTTAATACTTTTGATTAATTTATTAATTTTCGTGTACAAATAGTGAACTTTGTGATGAATAAAACTTGAAGAGCGTTGTCTCTAAACAGTTACATAGTTATTTCTCTAAATTGAAAAAAATGCAGCACTTTTATATAAAGAAACGAAATTAGCATTATTTGGTTGCACTTGTTTTGTCTGATAGTGTAGATTTTTAAAATGATGGTAAAAAAAAAAAAAAAAAAAAAGTAGGTAAAAAAATGTAGGTGTAATAAAAATAGTAATTATTTTCCAGATTACAACAACAATGAGACCACTAATTACTACAACAAGAACAACAACAACGACAATGATGAGAATGGGAGAACATGAGAGATCAACTAAAAATCAAAAACCAGTATGCAAGTAATCTTAGCCGTTATTTGTACATTGAAGAAAAGTGAGTTCTATTGATAGCACTTTCGAGAAAGCAAATTATGTCCGAAAGAATATCTTCAAAAATCCTGTAACTTGTGATTTTCTAGCTGTGAAAATATACTTCAATGTTAATAAATACTTATAAAAGTAATATAAAGAAATAATAAAAATAAATATTGTAAAGGGACACACAGAAAACACAATCTTTTTCATATATCAGTAGAGAACTTTTACAGTACCACCTGGTACAGTGGTATTGTATTTTTAAAGTGTTTTTTATCTCAATTAATTATCTAATGTTTTCATACACTTAGTACCAATTTAATTACAATATTATTTTTAAAATAAAACTTAATTAACTTATTTATATGCATTTTTTACATAAACGAAAAAAAATTAAAAAAAAAAACACGATGCGTACTATAAGAGAATTCTACCATATTTGTTGCATATATGACATATATTATATGTCATGATTGAGATTTTATAATTTATCTTGTGATAAAAAATAATTTTTATTGTCATGTATGTTTAATTTTTGCTTTATACTTGTTTACAATTTATTTTCGTTTATCTAAGTACGATTATTACAGTACTCTTATTGTAGAAAGGCATTTTTATAATATTTTACGTACTCTTTTTTATAAAAGGCTTCTGACGATAAGACCATTGTGATCTTTTTTTAGAAGTCTGACTTGTATTTGAAAAATATGTAATATCATAGTCAATAGAAATAAACCCTGGTCTGGAAAAGCTATTGTCGTATGTTATTGTTCGCTTTTTTTTAAGTCACGTGATCAAATCTAGTGCAAAACAAACAAAACTTTTATAATGAAAGTTACGAATTAATAAAGATTTTGATGTTTATTTTAAATTAATATATTAAAATTATTATTTTTCTTTATTATTAAAATAATATTGGTTCCTTTCTATTGTCTATGGTTTAAAAACTTTATTCAATTTGAAATGTTTCTTTATATTCTATATTTAAAAAAAGTCTAAAAGATAAATCCAAAATGCCAGGTTCAAATTGTTGTCTACCAGGATGTACAGTTTCAAGATCTATTAAGCACAAAGATATCACCTTATTCAGAATTCCTATGAGGACAGGAGACTTTTATAAAAAATGGAGACAGAGATTGTTAGCTATTATCACTCAGTATAGAGACTTTGACAAAGATTTGAAAGAAAGACTCTCAAAGGGCAATATTTATATATGTGAGAATCATTTTTTAGCAGAAGATATTGAATTGACAAGTAAGGATACTTTTATATATTTAGTTGTTTAAATTTGCTTTTACACTCTGTGTTATTTAATTTTAAAAGCTTTAATTTTGGGCAACTCTGATAAGTTTAAGTACAATAAACAAATAAATTTCATAAAGCTTAAAGTATTTGTGGCTTTATATAAATTTGTGGATAACATATTCTCTTTTTTTCTCAGTATTGTTCTTATTTTTGTGTGATAATTTATATTTACTTTATTGAAATATGTTGAATTTCAGAAACTGGAAGGAAATCATTACGCTTAGAGGCTTTACCAACTGTTAACCTACCCATAAAATCACATGAAAAAGAAAAAAAGGTACCTAGAAGACACATAAGTATTGTAAAAGATATTGTCCCACAGAAGCGAATAAGTTATTCAAACTTAATTGATTTACAGAAAAAAACCCAAAAGTTAAAACTTAGTGGATGGGAGATGACATGTAATGAAAACAATATCAAATTTAAAAAGTTATTGCCTTTGTATTTGTTACCTAAGTATGAAGTTGTAGTAGATGACAGTTTAGCGTTCACCATTATTGTATTTGGGTGGCTCTTGCCAGATACTCACTTAATCTATAAATTATACTCACGATCAATGCTGAACACTACAGTTACCGAACTTTTATGCAAAATATGTACATTAAGATTTTGTTCTGGTATTATAGAAAACATCAGAAATATAAATAATGATGATTTTGTTGATCATATTGTTCCAATGGAATTTGATTTAGAAAGTGCAAGTACAGATGGTATGCGTGTATCAAATGAAAGGTTTAAAAGAGCAAAATCATGTATTATATTACATACTAGTGAGTCTGATAATATAAATTCTGTTTGTTCATTTTGTACCCACACACTAAAAAAGAACAAAATGATTAAAATAAAAAAACAACATCAGTTAGCCACACCTGCTCTTCGAAAAGCTCCACTTAGTAAAACAAATCCTGTTCGCGTTCTATTAGCATTAAAACAAGAACGTCTAAGATGTGCCCAGCTAACAAGTGATTTAGAAAAAATAAATTTTCAAATAGACTCTAAAGGTATTACTATTGATGATGGGTTTGTTGATGATTTAAATCAAATAATGAGTAGTAACTACGAAAAAGCTACTCCCTTTATGAAATTATTTTGGGACCAGCAAAAGAAAATGTGTAATAAAAATTTTGGCTCAATAAAGTATCACCCTATGATAATACGGTTTTGCCTCTCACTTGCCTCAAAGTCGGCCTCAGCTTATGATGAGTTGCGCTCATCAAATGTACTAACATTACCAAGTCGCAGAACTCTAAGAGATTATAAGAATTTCATTCGACCGAAAGCTGGATTAAATCCTCCCGTAATTGAAGAATTGAATAAAATTAGTATTAACCTAGTTGGCTACCAACGATATGTAACGTTATCTTTTGATGAAGTAAAAATACAAGAAAAACTTGTTTTTAAT